GGAAGAGGAGGCAGAAAGCAAAAGACGAGAGAGACTTTCCTTGGGCAGGCGACAGGCAGAAAGAGGAGGAGGCTAGGCACCTAGGTAATTCGGCGCACAGGATGGATGCAATACAGTACCTTAGTACCTACAGTGCAGTACAGAACGATACCGTAGCTGTAGGTACCGTTTACGGTACTAGCCTGGGTACGAGAGTGGGTAAGTGAGTGTGAGTACCCAATGCCCAGGTAAGAGATGGCAAGAGCGAGGGGATGTTGCAGAGGAGCACACGCTTATCCAATGGTCTAGACAACGGAGACGGGGAAAGAGCCCACATCTGTGGTCCCTGGCTTGGATGATGGGGATGCATCAAGAAATTCTTCCTCAGCATCAACATCAAAATTGGGGGATGCGGTGGATGGCGCTCTGAGGCGTGGAGCCTACAAGAAAGAGGAACTCCACCACCACCACCATCTTCAATCACTCCTCAGTATCCCCTCCCCTCCCCTGTAGCTGTGGCTGTAGCCGAGACCGAGTCCCTATGTCTATTGGAGCGCAGCAAATCGCAAATTCTCCGTCTCACGAGCTTCATCACATAGAAGAGTCCAAGCATACACTTTCAGGGTCCCATTATTTTGTACGTGTACTCGTACGACCAGTTCCTCTGGTCGCTGCATGGTGGCCGGTTCAGACTCCGGATGGCCATGCGAGGATGGGGATAGGGACGGCCATGGCGAACCACTGCGCACCTACAGCAGCTTATGCACCTCATGCGTGACGATGCATGGTCAAGAATTTCCCGCCGGAGTCCTGGAAGGCAGGCTGCCTGAAGATGGAAGACGGGACACTGAAAACAAAAGCTCATGACGATACAGGAGGATATTCTGCATTGAATCAACAACCAAAATAGAACAGTCTGCGCTGCGCTGCGCTGCTGTGCTGTGCTGTGCTGACGGCGATCAGATAGAGGAGGCCATCACAGTCATTCTGCCTCTCCAAGTTTTCATGCATGAGATGAGGCGCTGTGTTTGATTTTTCTTCCTCCACATCCAACAAACGAGCCCATCAGAGCTTCGAGAAATCTACGGAAATGCCGTATACAATACTAGCATGATCCCTATCCTTGAGAATGCTCGGAATACTTTCTTCTTTCTTCCGGCCAAATCCAGCCTCTCATTTCATCTCTTTTGAACGCCAATATCAGAGACAATGGAAGTCGTTGGAACTCTTCCGTTGGCAGAAATCTCCGCGAGAGACCAAAAGAGGGACAACGAGCTGCGCCGACCATCAATTTTCCGTTCTCCTCCCACCCAGCCGGGAAAGGCATGGTAGCCAATACAACCCCTTTTGCGTCAGTGGAGAAGGGAAGTCATTCATCCGGTTCAACACCTGTCGGGTCGAGAGAGAAAATCTACAGGAGACTATGTTTGCAAACGCTGCCATGGAAATCATCATTATGAGCATGTCCATATCGAATCGCGTATCAAGGTTACCATCCGGTGTGGGACAGTGGTGCAGCCTGGCGTGTGCTCTCTTTTCTGGTGGGAACAATGTTGTGCCTTCTCATCCGCGTCCAATCCAGGTTCTTGGGACGCCTGCAGGTATTGTTGGTACGGAGTGTTGGTGTTGGTTCTGTTGGTCCTCAATTAGAGTATCACGACCCAGCAAAACTGCCACTACCCGCCCCCAAAAGTAATCTCGTCCCGTCGCGGTTGCAGGACTCGACCCACCAGATTGGAGACGATGTTGGAATCCCAACAATTGCCGACGCCCACCCTCCACGAAATTCCCCCATTTTCAGAGTACGGCAACCGCCGCATACGGGTGGCATGTATGGCTATGTTCCCTGGTACCAAAACACTCGATGGCCTGGTGGAAAGCTTCAATCCCTCCTGACGATCATGTTAGCATTGAAAGCCTTAGTTGATAATAGGTACACTTTGGGCCCTTCTAGATCTACGTGACCAGGAAGGCTTGCACCAAAAAGTCAAACACCATCCATTCAGAGTCACGATTGATTGTCTGCAAAATATCCGGTACACCCTCCTCTATCAGCTGCATTTCATCACCAACATCGTGGCTGAACCAGACGTTAGCAACTGGCTCCCAGAAAGCCTCAGCCCGGTTTATCTGTCTGTGTAACGCCATGATACTCGCATTTCCGGCTTTGAATTCATCACAAAATACCAACATTGACATATCAGTTATGATTAAATTTTCTTCGGCAAAGTCCTTGGCCACGTGGAAAGAGAAGGTTTGATTTGGAATTCCAAATTGTTCCTCTCTTTCTTTTCAGAGTAACTATTATATTAAAACTGGATCACGAGTTACAAATCTCAGCCTTGAATTGCTTCGAGCAACCATTCACGACCGGTATTTCACCCGTCAATATCACTCTTGACTGATGCTGTTCATCCTCTTCCTTTTACAGTTTATCAATTCCGGTTTTCGTTGTATCCGAAGTTGCCAACCTGCTTTCAGGTTCTTTTCTTCCTACCAAATGATATGCCAAGACTAACCGAACCCTTCTATCACTGACTTTATAAGTATATCATATCACAGTTCGTCGATCTTGTCCTTCGTTTCCGAAAGTGTCCTCAAGAGCTCTTGGTTCTCCCTCTATTCAAGCAGGTATGATATTTTAATATCATGATGGAATGGTAGTACGGCCGTCGATCCACGGCTTCTCGGGTCACACAACAAGATAACCGAAAGGGCTGGTAAGCCTATATCGGCCTTCCTCAAGAAGGCTGCCGCGTCGGGTACCTTTTGCTCCGCGTTCGTCACACATTGGATTTATGGCCCGCACGAGGGCTTCTGGTAGCGCAAGTCATACTTTAGAAGAGATCTGTGGTATCTTGATAGCGTTCTTTCTGCTTCTACCCCACAATCTTTCGTCGATCATTCGTCATAGGTCCGCCTCTTTTGTTTCCTGCCATGTGGCTGTGATCAGTAATCGTTCTCTTCGAGTTACATATTTTGGCGATTCGATGCGCGTTCATTATCTACGACTATTCAGATCTTCTCCATCGAGGTACCTGGGAGCCCTCCTTCGGCGGAGGAGGTATCAGAACTCGGAATCCAAGCCAGCCGGCAGCAAAATATTTGGAAGAGTACCTGATGTATTGCAACCTTATTTCTGAAAGGGGTCATCATTATACGACAGCTGTGTGCTCAGAGTTCAGGTACTGTAAGGAGGGAATGTAAGGTGTGATTGTTTCCACGCACACTTTGCTCTCAGCCAATCGATGTGAGTTTACTTCCTCATCCTAATGAAGATGTACTGTACATCACACCTCCCTCTCACAACGACCGTTATCCATCAATCTCCCACCTCCCCTGTCCCCGATATCTCGGATTTCAGCCATTGGATATCAGACAACTGGTCGTAAATAACTCGAGGCGAGGAAGAATTTTCCAGCTAGCCACTGGAAACTTAACACATTCAGATGTCACATTTATGTACAAGAGAATCGACCTGAATATCTTGCCTTTCCCGGCCATAGCCAGAATCCATTCATATTGCGAAATGGCACCCAAGGAAAATAGGGGAGCTGCTGTAAAAGGATTGTGTTGTATCCAACCTCACCCCCACCTCACATATGAGGCTCTTCAGTCCAACCAGTCATCCACCGCCACTGACCAGGTTACACAACATCTCCTCTAAGCGCCCCTCCACCCATTTCATCCAACCATCCCATTCACATCAATTGCAAAATCCGACCCAGCAAATTTATTTATCCCCACCAATTGACTCATCATCTCACTTCAACATTTCTCAGCTAGCCCTAACGTTACTGTACTGTACAAGGAAACGGTTAATAGGAAGGAAGGTGGGAACTAGGAATTGGTAATGTGGCGTCGGAGACGACGCCTGAAATTGGTCTTGGTTTTCGGCGGTGGAATGGGTTGGAGGCGTATAAGTGGTATGATTTAATGGTGAGAGATGGAGATGGAGTGATTGTGAGACTTTGACTTGACTAAGATTGTGAGTGCATATACAATTGTTTGTTTGCGTGTTTGCGTATTATAGTACCGTGATAAACCGACATCCATAAATGGCAGAGTGGAATACCTAGTAGAAGTTAGTAAGACTACGACTCCTTTTCCAGTAGACCATTCATAGGAATCTCCACAGGTCCCTAGATAGGTCGAAAAAGTCGCCTCGCCCGAAATCAAAAATCCGAATACGGGATCCTAATATGTTTGACATCATCCAAAGGATCATCGTTAATTGTAAGGTCTCTTCGGTTAATGGGTTACCAACAGTTTCTATACCCCTTTTAGTATTTGACGAGAGAGTAAAATGTCTTTCAGGTAAATTCGTAATCGCACCCGACTTATTTCAGAGGAAGAGAATTGATTGACTACCTCTACTAGTAAGATTTTGGGCTATTGGTATTATGCGATGCTTGTCTGTTTTATTTACTACAGGGGATTTCTATATGCTATACAGTCACGGTGTGAGATTACGTGTTACTTCTTTAACGGGTTTTAATTTATATATAGTAAGGGTGATGAGTTGATAAATACTGTGCTAAAGTTGGAAGTAAGAACTTTAATGTGAAGTTATGAAAAGTTTGCGTCTTTGCCTATATATAGTAGAAATGAGAAGAGTGCTGTCTAGTATGAGAAGTTTGTAGTTTGATGTACTCATATTGTGTTTCTTGATGGTTCTGAAGATGGAAATTTGTTATTTGTTTGACTGTAATAATCACAAGAAGGACCTACTTGTGCACAGCTATAAATGTTTGTGTGGTGGTGGAATGGTGTGGTGAATATGAGAGATTCTGGCATTTAGAAGTATAAAAGTTGAGCTCTTTGACTAATGTTGAGGATTTGAGTCGCAAGTTTTCCTATCTAAGTCACTTGCGTGGTAAAACGTGTCTGGGATACTGAAAGGGATTGCAGATGGTCGACCGGAGACTCTTGGAAACTCTTCGGGCTTGTATTTACGTCTATTTGAGATACTTGAAGGGATTTAATAGGACTTAACTAGTATAGCGAGTGTTTTGGCTTTGCTGGAGTCGCTTCCGGAGGCCTATTGTGAAGGATGATGCGAGTGGTAAGCGAAACATTTAGATTGAAGAGATTGAAGAGATCTGTATAGTTTAAGACGATACTGATGTTAATGGTCTTGGTCTTTTATTCATGTGCTTGCGGGAAGATGGAATGATCCGCGAAGTGGGTGGGATCAAGAGTGTACCTGTATTCGGAGATGTAAAGTACAAGCCACGAGTGTTGGATATAAAATAGTGTCCATGCCTATTCAGAAGCATATGGCATATCCGTGCTATCCACTACTTCTGGTATGAGACGTTCATCTCATCAGCTTTGCTACTATTTAAGCACCGCTTGTTTTGTGAGCTCCATCACATCATGTAATTTCAGTGCTGTATCCCCATAAGAGGGAAGAAAGTTGTCATAATCGCATGACATGCCAAGACCCGGACAGAATTTCTTGTACAAAATTGTATTCGCCTTGAAGAGACGAAGTTTATGAAAATATGGGGGCTGGTGGAAACTTCGAGAGAGAGGTGGTGGGAGGGATTGGCGAGAGGGAGTTTTCCCGCTCGCGAACTTGAAATCTCACCTTCGTACATTGCACCTCTCTAAATCTTCCAACCCGCTCCCACCTACATCTCCACAGGTGACCTACAGATAGGTATTCCACAAAATCAACTTTTCTCCACTGAAACCCCGCCAACATCATCGCCGCTATCATGGAGTCTTCGGTCGATGACCTGGGCGACTTCACCATTACCCTCGAAATCAGCAAGGTTCAATGGATCTACGAGCAAGCATCACTCAAGGTCCACAAGATCGTTGCGAAAGAGCATCTACGCGGACTAGTTCATGTCCAGGGTGTACATGAGCAAACCCTTGATCGAGTCCAACATGTCTTTCCTCACGCCAGATACGAGTGGAAGATCTGGCGTGCAGATTACGGCGCATAGAGTTATTTGTGTAAGTTGTTGAGATTCCGCTTTGTCGTCTATATAACACCATCGTCGGACTAATTGAACTTATTCTTTCCAGTTGGAAAAGATGCGCCCTACCCAATTCCACAACCGTCCAAGTTCTCGACCCAAGAGACGCCAGAAATACCCGCGAAACCAATGACCCCAAGAAGCCAGACGACCTCTCCACCAATGTTCGCTTTTCAAGGTTCGACATTATCTGCCTTACAAGAGCAGAAGGGTAGCAGCGTTTCTAGTCTCGATTCGTCCGACACCACCTCCAGGTTATCGACAGACTTCAACGCGTCCACAAGGTCTTCAACTCCAACTCCAACTCCATCGCCATCCTTCTCTCCATCGCCGTCCTTTTCTCCATCGCCATCTCTTTCTCCATCGCCATCCTTCTCTCCATCCCCATCGTCGTCGCCATCTCCCGCGCCAGACTCCTCTATATTATCGACGTCGACAGATATCAGCTATACCCCAAAAGCTTCAACTCAAACTCCACCGTCTGAACCAGCCTCCGCACCAGAAAGCAAATCGTCAATCTTACCTCCGACAATTCCATTCTCCTTCAAAACAAGCAGCCCCAATGCAGAGTTCTCATTCATCCCACCAGTAGTACATGCTAGCCCGCAACTACAAGAACAAAAACAACCGCAATCGACACTAAGCCCATTGAGACCCATAGGTGGAGGATTCGGCTGGTTCACTATTGGTCGTGACGAGGCGATGCAGGCGAGGGTTTTATTTTTATGAATTGTTTAATTTGTGCTTGGCTTGAGATGGGCTGCTGACTTGTATTCTGCTTTGCTATATGGAGGTTGCAACGATGGTATCATGAGATGGAATAGTTGCTTTGAAATAGGCGCGAAGTCAAATCGCAGTAAGGGTGCTTTACGGGGATAGGTTGTAGTAATTGATTTGCTATTGCCTAGGCAAATGAAAGTCATTCCAGATATTTGAATGCTCTATGTTTAAGCCCTATATTATAACGTGAAACTAAAAGAGAATGAATCATATAACCTGCCTAAGTACGCCCTAACTATAGCTACCTTCTTTGGTTACTATACAACGAATATTTTGTTTACTAATTATATAATTAATTAAGTCTACGTTCTATTATTAACTCTCTACGTGATAGTTCTAAATACTCCGAAAGAATGAAAATAAATAGATCCTTAACACTCTATTCGTTGAATAAGATCGTCTAAAAATACTTGGTTAGAAATAATTTCTTTATTATTATACAATAAAGTTTATATAGTCAAATTTAAAAGACCAATAGAAATACATTTAATTATTACTCAACTACTTTTATATCTCTATTACTTTTAAAATAATAATAATTAATAGATGTTGTTTAAACTATTTAGTAATATACTTTACTAGATTGGTAGAAATAACTAACCTAGGTTATATTAACTTACAAAGTAATATGAGGGGAACGACGAGAAAGTTCCGTTTCTTTAGTCTGAAATATCTAAGCGAGAAATGATAGGGGGACTTGCCAAGAAAATTACTTGTTTCATGTTTATAAATTATATAGACAAACTAAAAATATTAATTATAGGGACAAATCAAACACACATTGAGAAGATTTATATACAAAGTTAAAGGACCAAGTATATCTGGATAATACGCAGAAGACTGGAGGTAACTAGTCAATATCAGATTCTCCTCTACAGCAAGAACTTCTCAACTAATATACACAGGCAACCTATTATTCTTAAACTCGCTTCTTTCAATCATCCTGTCTTCCGAATTAAAGTCGTGCAAGAACATCCACGACCACAATCTGAACATCAAAGCGAGCCACACCGCACTTCTTCTATCCGAGTTTGAACAAAGCGTCGATGCATCGCTAGCCGTCGAACCATTTGAAGCTCGCCCGTTCCAATCTTCTGCTTGGACCACATTGGGGTAGATCTCCTCAAAGTAGAAGGCCAAGAGTATCTTCTCCTTCGGGTTATCAAGAGTCGCATTTTCCAGCTCTTTTTCAAGATCGTCCTGCTGACTTAAAACGGCTGTGAAATGCAAAGTCAAGACCTGGCGGACGTCCTTGAGCATGTTTTGCCTTAGTGTAGTTTCCACTACATCCAAAGCTTCATGAAGCGTGTCGAGCAGATCCAGATGCTTGTCGTTGTATCTCTTTCGGCTCTCCTTCACATGATCACTCTCGTCTTTCCCCTTATCCGCTGGGGTATATGTTTCTTTTTTCACTTTGTTATAGAGATCAGCATAAAGCTCATAAGCCGAAATCTTCTGCTCTAAAGTCGAGTCATTGAGATATTTCCCGTACAGTCGGCCTTTTGAAAACAAGCTTTGAAGTTCCTTTGTGAGGTCGTCATCCCCCAAGCTTGAATTCTTCAAATGAGAGCCGAAGGTTTTGAGACATGAGGCGAAATCGACATGCGGCGTCCAGCTGGCTGCGCATGGGTTCGGTAGCCTTCGGAATCGGGAGCCTGACAAGTGTACTGACTTGGCTACCATTCCCAGTAGCTCAAAGGTGTCTGACATGGAATTAGCAGAATCAAGAAGTGAAGGTTTTCAATTATCGAAACTCACATGGAAATACTGAAGGTCTCTCTACTGATTGTGATAGGAGCTTGCGGTCCGAGAATGCAAGCTCCGGCAGTAAACGCGAAAGACAAGACTCCAAATTTCCCGGACCAAACTGAAGACGGCCTGTCTTTGTCGCTTGGTCGTCGAAGACCGAAGGAACCTCTCCAAAGCATAATTGCTTTATCTCGTGGCAAGGAATTATTCGGTTCTCCTCGTGGTTTGATGTCGATAACCGTGAGAATCTCGCAAGAATTCCCAAACCTGGCATATATTCGCTCTTTACCATGAAGCCATTTCCTTCTGCATTCAAAACGGACTTCTTCACGTCAAATTCCACCCAGACGAGACCTAACATTGATACAATCTCAACCCAATGACAAATTGTTGTGGTAGCAAATGGCTTGGTAATGTTAAGAGGCATGAAGTCCCAGCATCGCCTCTTTCGTTGAAGCAAGTAGGCAATCTTATGCTTTGTTCCAGCATACTCAGGGTTATCCCATGCTCTAGATTCTCTCTCCTGTTTTTGCAACGCGTCCAAGAGAAGGATCCATGAGCAACCTTCATCATCTGCCGTATGAACCCTTGCCCATTGTTCGTTGTCATTACTGTAATGAGTCATGGTATGCTTGCAAGATGATTCTGTGCCAGTTATTTTATAGATGGGATGGACATGTTTCTTGACTTCAACGACCCCCATAAGAGCGGGATCTCCAACTGAGTTGGGGCGGGGTTTTTCCTATGCCAAAGGCGGTCGAGGAAGGCCACTTCAGGCTTCGTTTTGTTGAGTGGGCCCACAGTAACTCTACCGAATGTCAAAACTGGCAATCTTCAATGTGTTCGGTAAGTATAATTACCCAGGCTCAGCTGTATAAAACACCGGGACTTCAAAGAAGACTTGATATCTAAACTCTCGCCATTTGAATTTCCTTGTAGTTCTACTAGCCCATGGTTTGCCCATCACCTCTGCGGCGCATCTTCGTCGACCCACTTCGCTATTGTCGAATTGTAAATAGGCCAACAAGGCTTGAAGCGTGGAGAGTAACATTGCCGCAACCGAAATTGCAAGAGCGACAATGGTCAATCTGAGCGTAGCAGCATCACTGCCGTCATCAGAAGATGAAGCCATGGTATTGGAATCCAAAGCGGAGCCACTGAATCACCGGAATCAATCTTGTGAAGTTGGTGAGAATGGGGAAGGAATGGGGAAGAACATGGAGAAGCAAGCTGGAAAACTGGCGGTCGAGTACCGTATCTCAAACCCCGCCGCACAATTTGAGCCGCATATATACACAAGGATATATTTTTAGTCTCCACTGAGAAAAGAAATCGAGTACTATACTGTAACATTGGGGGCCAATAGCTGCGTCGACAGCGTTACTTCGTGCAATCTTCAGCCATTGGAAGCTCGTTAATCGCGCCGCTCGCTTGTGCCACCCCACTTTCCCGCTACAGATGTACAAGCCCAGGGGCTAACTCCTAAAGAGGCAATAGGCCCGCGGTTCAAGCACCATTTTTCAGTGTTGACAACCCAGAATGCATTTCGAAAGTTGAACTCTTTGCTAGAGCTTTTGGTCTTTCGATCTTCTGGAGAAGTACTGTAAAAGTTCGTGTCGCTTGTAATGAGAATAGAAGCTAAATTAAAGACAACTTTTGATTACCTAGAGTCTGATGCTTGGTGATGTCTAAACAAGACCGAGGAAAGAAACGGATCAAGGTAAAACCTTTAGATTATCATCTTTTGAAAACAGCAGCTTTACCTTTATAAGCATGAAGTACTTTTGACAGGAGTCATTTGCTGCCCAATATCTACAAATATCAATGCATCAACAAGCTGTCGAACAACCTCATACAGTACTAGAAACGTACCGCCTGAGAATCCAACCACATATCAGAAATCCGATAGATACCACTTAATCACCATTAGGCGCCTTAGGTATTCCAACAAAGTCCTCCTTTTGCTTCAATTCACATTATCTACATACACTTGCCAGCTCTCGGCGTCTAATCCAATTTTGGACAAGCCTTTCTGGTTCCAAGTTTCCTCTCAGGTTCAACCTCTTACCAGACTGAATTGCTCGCTATTCACAAACATTGGATTGCAATAGTCACCGCCTCATTCAACGATGATGGCGGCTTGGATTACACCACCTCGATCTCTTTTCGAATAAGAATAATGGACCACACAATAGTAATCTTCACAAAGATGCCAAGATCCTATAACCAAAGCCTTGTGGTATCAGAAGACCACTCGAGACGGAGAACCATAATTGGACATCTGATTTTGATCTCGGTGGTGGCTGTTGTCGATGCAAAGTATAGTACTAGGAGACCTTGCTTATAGGATATCCCGAAGCTTTTGTAAGGCTAGTTATGGGTCTTATAGAAAACAGTGAGAAGTCATGGAGGCGGTGCATGCTACAGTAACTTGCTGCAAAGTCCTGCCACTTGCCGGGCTGCTGCATAGACATTGTAGAGATTACTTTCCTATTTCTTGTGGTCATGATGAATACATGCTCGTTGGACATCCGATAGGGTGCCTCTTCGTAGCTATCCGTCTTGACTCTTGATCACTTTAGATGCTATTAATGCTTACTATACTTATAGCCAGAAGTCTACAAATATTATTACAATACTCAAAACAGCTCTCCTCAATTGCGACAACTGACGCCTGATACTAGGACCCAAAGAATCTAGCCATGTTCCTCGAACTCCTATACCTTCTGTAAGGTACCTGTAAAAACGACGATGGTCTCGAAGGTTATACACCGCCATCCTTATCACACTTAATACCAAAACAAGTTATTCCGCCCAATCTCAGTGCCCTTCTCTTCTTTAAGAACTTCAATTCTATTCCAAGCGCCGAGTCCATCTGAATAGACTACCAGTTCTTATCAGAAAGAACAGTTAAAAACGCCATTATGAGTGATCTGTAGGAAGGATCTGAATCTTATCCTTTTGCAGGGGCATTACAACCCAGAACAACTTAAATAAAAGAACAACCTAATCATTCCCCAACACTCTTCCACCCATCTCTAAACCCCTATCTTTCCTCACATCCCACCATACCCATCAAACCCATCAAAATCAATTATCCTATTATCAAATTCCAAAGAGGAAAAAGAAAAAAAAGAAGAAAAAAAAGGAGAAACGACCTCGCAGCTCCCCGCCAAGCTATAAAGGTACCACCAGGTACCACCAGGTACCACCACGGGGTGTCAGAAATCTGTACGCAGCCCCAGATTTTAGCCGAAAACACACTAAATACGTACTACTTTACTAATTTATAATAAATTAGAGAATAATCTATGTATTCTAAAATAAATAATACGAGATAAGATAGAAGGTAGCTCTAACTTATACTATTTAGAACTTTAATAAAATAGCTACCTCTCTTATACTATAAATATAGTAAGACTTACTAGAGGATTTAGTAAGAGAAAACTCTCTACTAGAATATCTCTTTAACTATTAGGTTCTAAAGATAACTCTCGTATATATACTTAGTACGAAATAAACATAGGCCGATCGAGTATATAATATTTATAGTTTTAAGTTTTAATATTTATTTACTTAAATTTAACTAATTTTTATAACTAACTTATATAGAATATACCTAAGGTATAATAAGTAAAATAAAAATATATTATTATTTCCTAGCTATTCTAGCTATTCTAGTAGCTACGTTAAAGGTATTCTATATACTAACTACTAAATTAATAACTCCTATAGAATATACTAGTACATTTACTATATAATTAGCCTAATTTTATATTATATCGCGTAGAAGCCTAGCTTACTCGCGGTCCTAGTTAGTAAAGATAAAAGAGTATTAAAAACTCCCTAGGTTAAATAAACTAGAATAAGGTAGTTTTATATATTATAGATATTAGATTTAATAGTAGATAGATTAGATAGACTTAGAAGTATTATTTCAGAATAATAAAAGTAATTTTAGATAGTATTATTATATTAATAGATAAATAATTGGTATATTAGTTCTTTCTAGAATATAATAATAATCTTATTATATACTATACCTTACCTAATTAGGTCGTTCCTACGCTTAGCGAGGGTATATAGTCCTATCCTAGGTCTGAATATTAATTTTTATATAAGTTAGTAGTATTAAGGACTTACTAAATAGGCTTAGCGTTAGAGACAAAGCTTTATTACTATAGATATATAAGATATTACGTATAGTTTGCATATAAGTTTAATAAGTTATAGAGTTCTAAAAACATAGTTTTTAGCGTGTTTTCGGCCGAAATCTAGGGCTGCGTACAGAATTCTGACGACTCCTGGTGGTATCACCAGGTACTATACCAACAAATAACCAAGACCTCCCCCTTTCTATCACCCGTAAACCTACCAATCCACCAATCCATTAGTTACCAACTCACACCAACCCACCTTCCTCACCAACCCTCCCTCTTCCACACTCTCTTGAACTCTTCCTCTTCCCAATCCACATACTCTACAAGTACCCCTCAAAAAACCCAACTCCTTCCAACCCACCTCCACGATCTCCACAATCTCCACAATCTCCATCATCAAAAAGGTACCAGAACAGAACAAAACATACCATAATATAACTATACAGAGTAAACAACACCTCTCCTCAATCCTCAATTCCCCAAAAAACGTTCAAACTTAAGAGAAGATATTTCACCTATAATATATACCTCTAGTCTAGTCTAGTCCACATCCATGCTTCCGTCCATCGATGAGGTCCCCTGACATAAGGAAGGGATACACGATTTCAAAATTCTTCAATCCACAACCCACTCACTACTCCAACCTTCTTGCTATACCCCATACCCCGTATCCTCCCATACACCGTAGAACATCACTCACTCCCTCCCTCCCTCC